CTTTTATATTACCAACCTCTCTTGCAATGATACGTCTCCATGAATTCAGTCCTTTGGCCTAAGTAGGTTCTCTAGGACCAACTGATGGAAGAGGAAAGACCCAGGACCTAATTTACATATGGGTTGCTTCAAGATGGAGGTGCTATCGAAATTGCATTGATGATACCCCAAAGTATAGTGATGATGGGAAATCTCCCTTGGGCAGACTTGTGAGCAGTGAACTTGATTATTTACTTCTCAAGAGGAAGAAGTAGCCTGAGATATGAATATACATGAACTTCTGGGCAGAGATGAATGGCTTGACTAGTTGGTCAGGACCTGGAAAAAAAAAGAATGGAATATTGGGGACAGTTTGGTGTGGAAAACAGAATATGGGTGCTTCTACGGGAATGAGAATAAAGCATGTATATCTTTGTGTGTCACGTTAATTTCCAGCAGAGAGCATCTACCACTGAGGGAGTTCTCAGACACCAGGTGAACCCTGTGATTTGTCTTGTGGTATCAGCTAGCACAAAGATCCTGTGAATAGAGAGGTAATAATGGCAGGGACAAAAGGCTTGCGTGGGCCACCCCAAAAACTGACTCCTTCTCACCAATTCAGATCTAGCTAGACTGACAGTTACTACCATTGCTTAATTAATTCCATTTGCAAAGACCAAAACCAAGACTTTAATATGGCCTTACTTTTTGAGAAGACAGATCAGCCACTTACTGGCAAATTATTACATTGGACCCCTCATACCTTGGAGGTGGCAGTGACTCATCCTCATCAGAACTGGTACCTGATCTGGTTATGAATTTGCCTTTCTTGCCTCAGTGCCTCTGCCAGCACCACTATTCAAGAATTTATGGAAGGCTGACATGACTTCCCTCATAACAATAGCTCAAACCAAAGGTTCCATTTTATGACAAAAGAGGAGAAACAATGATTACATGACCATAGGCCCCTTTGGTCTTACCATCTGACTCATCTGTATTAGTTAGATCTTGATGTATAACACAATGCTCCAGATGCAGTGCATTGTCGGGCACTGACCTCCGAGGTACATATGCACTGAACCAACAGCTAAATATATGGTGCCGTGGCCCCTCATAACTAGAATATAAAGGTGCAAGAAATGAAGAGAGGAGGTAGGATTACCCCTTGTAGCGAATGAATTCTGTTGATATTTTGTTTAGATCTCCTTTACCTACTGGTACACTCATCCCCAACTGCTGTGAGTGTTGACTGAGTATTCTCACAATTTCTTCAACCAAATGGGAGCTGCCTCATCTATGAGGTCTACCACCATCTCCACCCACCCCCAACTCCCTCACTACTGACAGACTTTGACCAGTAATTGACTGACACGAGGGTATAAAAGAGTAGAGGCGAGAGAAAGGAAAATTGTCGATTATGGTTTTGGTATTATCCTCATCAATCAGGGACTTTACCTTGTTTTATTAACCTTACCTTAAGTCTTTTGAGAAATTGTGGCTGGATACCATCTTGAAAAGGACTCTGTGATAAAATGGACTTATTCCTTCTCCTTTAGGAAAGAAGCGAAGGCATGATCTCACAAAAACTGATGCCCCTATTTTATTTATGTACTGTGGGAATGAACATAATCGGAAGACATGAATGAAAATGAGTGGTGCAAGAGATGGGTTTTATCAAATACTGCTTATGTACTCAGATGCTCTTGGCCTCACTGGCTCTACAGCCATTACCACTTGTTTTGTCTAAGCCAACATTGTGGCAACCAGCCATTGGTGGGATATACAGCTGTGACAATAGACTTCACAACAGCACAATTCAATGATGGTTTATCTTGTACCCAAATAAAGTGCCTGTCACCTCCTGCCCCAAAGCTTTTCTGTTGGCAATGAGGAATGAGATGCTGAAGGATCAGTCAGTGCCTACATATGTACAACCGAGAAATATTGGGGATTTAATGTCCATGAAGAAAAGCTTTGATAAAGGGATCTAGCAGATACATTCTATGTCTCCTTCTTCCCAGCGTTTGTTCTGAGATTAGGGTCATTATATTGCCCCTTGAAATCTGATCCTCTGAGACTAGGACTGAGTTGCATTTCCTACTGAGTGGTGGCAAGTTTATAGGACAAGCAATGAAGTGCATATGCATGTAGGAAAAGGTCTCAAAGAATGAACAACAATACGGAGACAGAGATGTTTCTCTTCATTTTATTTTTATGCAATAAGTTTAGGACTGTACAATTCTGTCATGTATGGTATTTTATAATAAGAATAAACTATCATTTTTAATTTAACAGTATATATAATCGCTACTGCGAGGTTCTTAAGTTATATATAAAGCTATATTAATTCATCAGAGATGCATATTGTAATCACTATAGCAACCAACCTCCAAAAAAATTAAAGAAACCTGATGGACATAAATATGTCATGCAAACACTAATCATAAGAAAGTTATGATTTTTTAATATGAAAGAAAGGAGGCTTCAAAACAAAGACATTCTATATTGATAAAAGGGTTACTCAAGAAGATAAGCAATTTTAAATATGTATATATCTAATAAGATAGCTTCAAAATTCATGACGGAAGAATTGACAGAACCAATCATAAGAGAGTATAGCACTTCTTTGGCAGGTATTGATATGACAAGTACATAAATATAATTGAGAGTTTCTATGTTTTTTTTTTTATTAACCTTTAATTTCAATCTGCTTATTTAAAAAAAAACGTATTCTGCTTGATTTCAGTCATTCGAAATTTATTCAGATTTGTTTTATGGCCCAGGCTGTGGTCTATCTTGATGAATGTTCTTTGTGCCTTTGAAAAGATGTATATTTTGCAGTTGTTGTGTATAGTATTCTATAAATATCAATTAGATTAATTTTTGTATACAGTGTGAGCTAGGGGTTAAGGCTTATTATTTTAATATTCAGTTGTTTCAGTACTCTACAAAAAAGACATGCCTTCCTCATTATTTTGCCTTGGAATCTTTGTCAAATCAATTGATTTTATTGGTATGGGCTATTACTGGACTTTATTTTGTTTTATTAACCTATTGTCTATCCTTACATGAATATAGCACTGTAATTCCTGAAATTAAGTAGTGTTAGCCACTCAACTTTCTTCTTTCGTTTTTTAAGATTGTTTTTTGTATTCTTGGTCTTTTGGATTTTTATATAAATTTTAGAATTAGTTTGGTAATTCCTATGAAAAAGCTTGCTGGGATTTTTATTGGAATCTTTAATTCATAAATATGGTATATTTCTCAATTTATTTAGTCTTTCTAAATTTTCTTTGAGTGATGTTTTGCAGTCTTCAGGGTAGAGATCTTGCATATCACTTGTCAAATGTATCCCTAAGTATTTGAGTTTTTTATGTAAATGGTAGTTTATTTTCCATTTGGTTCTTGGTAGTATAGTTAACCATTGAAAAATGTGGGGGTAAGGGGAACTGGTCACCTATTCAGTCAAAAATCTATGTATAACTTTTGACTCCCCCAAAACTTAGCTACTAATAACCTACTGTTGACCAGAGCCTTACCAATAACATAAATTATTGATTAACATGCATTTTGTATGCTATATATATATTATACACTGCATGCTTACAATTAAGGCAGAGGAAAGAAAATGTTAAGAAAATCATAAGGAGGAGAAAATATTTATTTTAAAACTACACATATAAGTAGGCCTGTGTGGTTCAAACCCATGTTGTTCAAAAGTCAACCGTATGTAGAAATACAGTTGGTTTTGTATATTGACCTTGTATACTGCAGCCTTGCTAAATTCACTTATAACATCTGTAATTTTTTGTTATTGATGTCTTATAATTTTCTGTATACATCATAGTATTACATGGGAATAAAGACAGATTTATCCCTTTCTAATCTTTATGGCATTTATTTCTTTGTCTTGCTTTATTGCACTGGTTAGGGCCTAGATACAGTGGTGAAACATAGTTGCTTTGTTCCTGAATCTATTGAATATTTAATAAATTTTTTGTCTGTTGGTATAGTGAATGACATTGATTTTTTGGATTTGATGGAGATATAATTATTATACCATAATATTTACTCTTTTAAATAGTACAATTCAAGAGTTTTTAATATTTTCATAGAGTTGTACAACCATCGCCACTATATAATCTCAGAATGTTTTTATCTTTCTAGAAAGAAACCTTCTACCCACTAGCAGTTTCCATGCTTTTTTTCTCTCAGCCTCTGGCAACCACTAACCTATGTCATGTATCTATAGATTTGCCTATTCCAAATATTTCATATAAATTGAATCATTAAACATGTTTTCAAGATTCATCCGTATTGTAGCACGAATCAGTACTCATTTCTTTATATGGCTGAATAATATTCCACTATATGGAAGTACCACATTTTGTTTATCCATTCATCAGTTGATGGGCATTTAGTTGTTTCCACTTTCGTTTTCAGCATTAGAAATAATGCTGCCATGAACATTCAGGTACAAGGTTTTACGTGGATATATGTTTTCAATTATTTGGAATGTATAGCTAGGAGTGGAATTGTTAAAACTTTCTGAGGAATTGCCAAACGGTTTTTCAGAGTGCCCGCATCATTTTACATTCCCACCAGTGATATCTGAAGGTTCTAATTTCTCCACATTCTCATCAGCACTTGCTATTGACTATCTTTTTTATTTTAGCTATCCTAGTGGTTGTGAAGTAGTAGTTTTTTTGTGGTTTTGATCTATATTTCCCTAAGAACTAATGATGTTGAGAATCTTTTCATGATCTTATTATCCATTTATATGTATTCTTTGGAGAAATGTCTATGCAAATTTTTCACTCATGTTAAAATTGGGTTGTCTTTTTATTTTTGAATTGTAAGTGTTCTTTATATGTTCTAGATACCAGTCCTCTACCAGTTATGTGATTTGCAAATATTTTTTCCTATTCTGTGAATTGTCTTTCCACTTTCTTGATTGCATCCCTTAAAGCACAGAGGTTTAATTTTAATCAAGCCCAATTTATCTATTTTTTGTTTCCTAGAACAGACAAACCTAATCATATGGTGAAAGAAATTGAACTGGTGGTTGCCTCCGGGGACTGAGGATGGGCACTGACTTTTGAAGGGCATGAGATAACTTCCTGCAGTGATGGACATGCTCTCTATCTTGATGAGGTGTGGATTACACAAGTGTATACATTTGTCAAAACACTCTGAACTATGCACATAAGATCTCTGCTTACCACTGTATGTATATTAGACTTTAATTTTAAAAAATAAAAAACATAGGACAAGGGAAATATTTAGTAAAGGATGGTAGCATATGTCTTAAGCCAGATTACCCTAAGATGCTTGCAAAAATAATGAGAAAAACGTAGAACATTTGCCATGTGGAGTCTGTAAGAACATAAGGTTCCAGAAGAAAAGGTACCTTCTAGTTGGTTCCGCTCTCTCAGTTGATCTTTGTGCTGAAGCTTTATTGACTCAGTCCATCCAAAGAATGTTATTGCACCTGATGAATGCTGTGAACTCTGTACCCCATACTTAATCAATAAGTAGTCATGCTATGACCTATACAAAAATGAGGCTGCTAAAATCACTTTATCATTCTTATCAGATACAGTTATTTTAAACAAAATTTGATTCTTACCAATTATCAAAGATAATACTTAATTCAAAATAGCATTTGTTGTGGTGCTCTACCAAATAATATACAAAGATTAAATTATCAAAAGACGTATGAGCTCAAAACTGTCAAGGACATCCAAAACAAGAGAAGTCTGAAAAAAAATCATCACGGTCTAAGGAACCTAAGTAGAAATAATGACTGAATGTAATTCCATATCCTGGATGGAAACTTGGAACAGAAAGTAGCCATTAAGTTAAATAAAAACTAAGGAAATTTGAATAAAGTATGGACTTCATTAATAATAGTTTGTCAATTTTGGTTCATTAATTGTAACAAATGCACTATACTAATGTAAGGTGTTAATAATAGGAGAAACTTGTACAGGGGATAAGAGAGTATACAGGAACTCTGTACTATTTTCTCATTTTTCCTGTAAATATAAAATCCGTTTTTAAAAAGAGACCTATGAGACAAGCTGTTTATATCACGGTGGGATCTGGGAAACAAGCACTGTATGATACTTATCACACATAAAAGAATAAGAGAGGACAGGTTTAAAATATGGAGTGAGAAGAAAGGGCAGCACCCTAGGCACAGAATAGGTGGTTTTATATCCCTCTGTTACTTAACTGTCTCTAAGAAGCTCCTTTACCCCAAATAGTTGCTTCAAATGTAACCAGTTTCAACTAACCTCCCTCTGGCAGCTGCTACTGTTTCTATTTTCACCCCCTGCCAATCTGGATGTGGGACATCTGCAAGTTCCCCTAAAGAAATTACTG